GGCACGAGCACCCCAGACCCGGAAACGCGACGCATCGCCAACCTTCCCCGTCCATAGCAGTGTGGGCGAGGTCTCCGGCAAGGAGACACGGGGCCAGAGGTTGAGCTGATGCGCGGCGTACCGGACCGCAAACGGCCACAGAAAATGGGGGGCAGCCGCATGGATCATGGAGGTACGAGCGACCTCCATGACTAAGCCAATGCGGCGCTCAGCAACCCCATTCTGCTGCGGAGAGGCCGGAAGCGTGAACGACTGGGTGATGCCGTGCTCCGCACAGTAGGCTGCCAAGAGGTCGGAGGAGAACTCACCACCTCTGTCAGAGTGCAGACGCAGGACAGGAAAGTCCGACCGGAACCGCTCGCGGAGCTGGAGACGAACAGCGCGGATCCAGGGGATCAAAACAGCAGGGACGTCCCCCTTGCTCTGCAAGGGGAAGACCGTGGTGTAACGCGTGTAGTCGTTGACGACCAGCAGGAAGTACCGCTCGCGGCCCTGTCCCTGGACGCGGGCTGGGCCCCACACGTCCAGGTGGAGCGTCTGCAGTGGAGCCTCTGTGGGAGGAAACGAGGAGGAGTGAGGAGCGGCGCGCTGCCGCCCCTCGACGCAAGGAATGCAGGGCGGCGCAGGCGAGGGAGGGAGGGCAGGCAGGGACCTGGGAAGACCAGAGACCAGGGAGCGAGAGTGCATGCTACGCAGGCGAGGCAAGGAGGGGTGACCAAGGCGGTGGTGCCACAGGAGAGTGTCGTGCGACAAAGCGCGACACTCGCAGGGGGCCGCCAGCTGACCAGACGCAGACGCAAACGCAGACGCAGCTACCTGAGGGGACTCAGTGGTCAGTGTGTACAGACTCGAGCCAGGTGCACGGGTGAACGTGGCCAAGTGCCGGCCCGTCCTAGCACACGTACAGTGAGTCACTCGCTGACTCGCAGGAGTGAACTGGTGAACCCCCCCATCCTGGAGGTCAGCTCCACTCACCAAGTTCGTAGAGAACGAGGGGAGGTAAAGACCTGACAGCGAGCCGGACGGGACGGCCGGACACGGCAGAACCGTGGAATAGTGGGCAAGGACTGGACCCCCAGAGGGGTCCGCCAGGGAGACCGGGACTGGCCGACGGAGCGGCGTGAGTGCGGTGCAGTCGCGAAAGAAGGAGCGGGAAGCTCCTGAGTCAAGGGTGAAGGTGTGCGAGACCGCAGTGGGCGCAGTACCAGAGAGAGCAGACACAGCAGCACCTGAAGCCACGGCCTCACCAGTACCTAGAGCAGTAGACGTACTAGCACCGAGAGCAGCAGCCTCACCAGCACCTAGAGCAGGAGACGCACTAGCACCTAGGGCAGCAGCCTCACCAGGGTCAGGCGGTACGCACAGGCAACAGGCACGGTCAGCACTAGTAGACAATGCATACATGGCAGTGAGAATAGCATCATAGTCAAGCGCAAAGATATCTACCCTCTGTCTATGCAGCTCCAGCCAGGTGGGGAGCTCAGCCTCGTCGCCAAACACTGTGCGCCAGTCGTCGCTCAGACGGGCGAAGCAGCGGGACTGTGTGTGACCAAGCGTCCCACAAGGCTGACCAGTCCTAGCACCTGTGCGAATGACGTACGGGCAGCGGACTGTACGCGTAGACCTGCTACACTGAGCGTACCACTCCTGGAGCTGCTGGGGCGTAAGTGTCTCACGTGGACGTCCCTGCAGCTGCAGCTGGCCACTGCTAGACGCTCCCAACTGACCAGCCCCAGGGCGACAGCTACCGCGACAACCCCAACTAGTATACCACTCACTAAGCTGCTGGGGCGTCAGAGGCTCGCGTGAATGTCGCTGGAGCTGCATCTGGCCACGTGCCAGTAGCAGTAGCGCAGGCAAGGCAGGCGCGGCAGGCAGGCAAGCAAGCAGGCAGGCAGGCAGGCAGGCAGGCCGGCAGGCAGGCAGGCAGCCAGGCAGGCAGGCAGGCAGGCAGACAGGCAGGCAGGTAGGCAGGCAGGCCGGCAGGCAGGCAGGCAGGCAGGCCGGCAGGCAGGCAGGCAGCCAGGCCGGCAGGCAGGCAGGCAGACAGGCAGGCCGTCAGGCAGGCAGGCAGGCGCTCACCAAAGGCTGGGAGAGCAGGGCCGGCGCTCGAGTATGCGCACGACAGCGGCGACGTCGGGGCCGCAAAACCGGCTGCAGAGCAGGGCCGAAACAGCTGTAGAGCGGGGCTGCGTCAGCGGCAGTAGCAGGGTGGGGCCGCGTCAGCGGCAGGTCGGGGCCGTGGCAGCTGCAGGGCGGGGCCGCATCAGCGGCAGGTCGGGGCCATAGCAACTGCTGGGCGGGGCCGCATCAGCGGCAGGTCGGGGCCGAGGCAAAGGGCCGCGCGCGGCCGCGCTAGGGAGTAGCGGGCCGCGCGCGGCTCGGCGCGGGCTGTTGCGGGCCGCGCGCGGGCCGTGCGAGGCAGGAGCAGGCCTCGCGCGGCTCGGCACGAGCTGCTGCGGGCCGCGCGCGGGCCTCGCGAGGCCGTAGCAGGCCGCGCGCGGCTCGACGCGGGCTGCGCGGGCTCGGCGCGGGCTGCGCGCGGCAGCTGCGAGCTGCGCGCGGCTCGGTGCGGGCTGCGCGCGGTTGCAGCGGGCTGTGCGCGGCTCGGTGCAGGCTGCGCGCGGCTGCAGCGGGCTGCGCGCGGCTCGGTGCGGGCTGCGCGTGACTCGGTGCGGGCTGCGCGGTCTCGGTGCGGGCAGCGCGCGGTAGCAGCGTGTGTGCGGGTCTTACGGGCCTGACAGGCGTGTAGAGGCGGCGCGCGGGCCTTACGGGCCTCTAGGGGCAGCGCGCAGGCAAGGCAAGGCAAGGCTACGTGGGGTAGCGCGGTAACCGCAGCGGTAGGTGGGCCCGAAAAAAAAAAACGGTCCTACGGACCTTAGTGCTCTGAAACCATGTTAGAATCTAGCAGCAGGAATGGATGAACTAACAGGATGCAGGAGTACAAGTAGTAAACCCTAACTAGGTTGTACCCCATGTGGGCTACCCCACTACAGCCTAGACAATATGCAGCATATATAGTTTGACAGACGATGTCCGTAGTAGGACCCCGGTCTCGGTCGGCGCAAAATGTCGATTTTCTCGGCGAGCGCGAGAATCTCGTTGAAGTTCGAGAGCCCGCGTAGCATGATTTCGTGCGAGATATCCGGCTTCAGCCCTCCGACGTAACGGTCCACCCGCTCCGCTTCGTGCATGTAGCCGACCTGCTCGCATAATGCGAGAAAACCGCTCGTGTAGTCTTGAACCGATCCGAGCTGCCGCCAAGTGCGCAGTTTCTGACGCGCCGAAATAGAAGCCGCGATCGGCTCGAAGAGCGCCGGAAGCCCTACGCACCACGCATCCCACGTGCTGTACTGGGCGGTTTCGCAGAACGAACTCCAGGTGACTGCTGGACCCGCGGGCCCTTCCTCTTGCGACGGTGGCTCGTAGGCGCGTGGCGACGTCACGATGACTCGCCACCAGTCCATGGCGGGGCCCCTCAGCAGCGAAACGGCGTATCGGATCTTCGCTGCGTCCGACTCGACGTAATTCGCGTCGAAGAAGACGTTCATCGTGAAGATCCACGATTGAACCGTCGGACCTCACGTTGGCTCGGGTCGAAACAGGGCGGGCGCTGCGGCTTGAGTGGCATTGGCGCCATGATTGCTTGATCGCCACTTGTTGCCGCAAACTCCTCGTGCCGACGGGCTTCGCGAGGCTCCTGAAGGCTTGGCGCAACCCGGTTTCTTCCCATGCCAGGCATTGGCTGGGCGGCGCTATCACTGGCTGCTCCTGAGCGCTGTCCCACGCTGTCGTTCTGTGTTGGTGTGCCGGACGAAATGACGATCGGCTCCTCCGATTGTGCAGGTACATTTTGTGGTGCTGGGGCGCTCGCCGTGGCTTGCTGACGCGCGGAGTCACGTTCCGCCGTGAGTGTCGCAATTTCGATCGCCGATTCTTCAACTTGGCGCACCAGGCGGTCGAGCTGCTCCTGCGTCAGAGTCGCGAGATTGAATTCGGCCATGGCGGGGGTGTCGGGCGAGCTCAGCGAGAGCCTCTGTCGTGGCCGTGCGTGCTTACGAGAGTGCCCTACGAGCGGTGGTGCTGTGTCGCTGAGAGACGTCTACCCCCTCCAAAAATTGAGATAGTGGGGAAGCGAAGGTGTGGGTGCGGTCCGAGAAGAGATCGTAGGCTCTGAATACCAAGTGTTACGAGTGCAATTGAGTGAGCGAACGAGGATTGCACTATCGAAGCAACAAGTACAATGAGCGAAGGCATGAGCGAAGATTATATAGCGAAACTACAGTGGTAACGGTAATGTGTGGAAAATGGGGTGCGCGACGGGCCTAGCGCCGAGGTTGGGAATTGTCGAGGCGGAGGTCCGGAGCGCGGGTTACCAACCGAGCCGTGAGGTTGGGTCGCGTCGTGAACAGTGGCGGGAACAGTACCGAGGCGAGTGTCGCGAAAGGTAACGGATTACTGTTGGGTGCTGTTGGCGGGAACAGTGGCGTACGCGCTAAGCAGGGACGCGAAGTAAGGAAAAGGAATTTTCCTTACACCCATACACAAAAAAAAACTGAAATTTCAGCCAATGCATTATCCCCATGTCTGAAAAATCCTCCCATACAAAAAAAAAAAAAAAAAAAAACTGAAATTTCAGCCAATGCATTATCCCCATGTCTGAAAAATCAGCCTTCCGACCCCAAATCAGCCTTTTTTCGCTGAAATCTGAGGCCCTGCAGGTAATCCATTTCCGTTGTGCTTACTTCTTGAGATCCTGAACCTCCAGTGGTAATTGTTTCTGGCATTGTTAAGGAGTTGTCATTTCTATTCATCAATTATTAATTTTATTTTTTTTTACCGTTCTAAATATGTAGAATGCGCAATAAGCATGTATAATAAGAGTTACATGCTTATCACACTCAGTCACAACTGTCGGGCAAAGACATCTTGTGGCGACCATTTCTTGCTCTGTGTTTGCCGTGCCCATTCCGCTGCACTACTTCCCATCCCCCCGCAACATGCCGTTGCCAGTTCCTCCGCCGCCATGCGCGGGCGACACGCTGTGCGAGGCGGCGGTGAAGGTGCTGCGCACGGCGGACCCCTGGAAGAAGGTGGACTACGGCGACCTCGCGGCGCACCTCTGGGCCACCGGCGCCATTCGCGACGCGTACGCTGATCGCGCCACGCGTCGGGACGGGAGCTTGAGCAGCGGGACTGCGGAAGCCCGAAGCGCCGGGTCACAGGGAGATGCAGACGCGGGAGCAGCGGGTAGCGACGAGGAGCAATGGCTTAGCGTGCCGGACCGCCCTGCCAGAGACGATACCGTGAGCACCCCGCACCCCGTCTGGTGCTCTCCTCGCATTGCCCCCTCGCGTTTACCCACCCCTAGTCCCCTCCTGACCCACCTTCTGCCTTTTCAACCCTAAGCCCAAAACCTGCTGCTGTTACGAGTTTTCTAACCCGGCGTCGCGCGTGTGCGCTCCATCCCCTGGCGGCAGGTGCGCGTGGTGGCGGCGCGCGACATGCCGCGGCGCGGCAAGGGCGGGTCGCAGCAGAGCCGCGTGGCGCTGCTGCACAGCCTGGTGCACATCGAGAGCTGGGCTGTCGACCTCGCGTGGGTGCGCGCTCGCCCAATGCACGGGCAGGGGTTTTACGCCCAGGGGAGAGAGGGCTTATTCGAGTGGGAGGGGGAGCTGGGAGGGGAAGGTGGGAGAGAATCGTGTGAGGGAGTGCAGGAAGGCATGGCAGCGTGGCCAGTGAGTTGGTGTTTGCGTGGCAGCCGTGCCTCGTGCCCATCGCCCCTTCCATTTACCCACTCCCTCGTCGGTGATCTCCCATTCCATCACGCCTCGTGTAACCCTAGTTCCTCCCCCCTCTTCCCCCCTCTCGCCCCCTCTCGCCCCCTTTCGCCCCTTCTCGCCCCTTCTCGCAACCCCCACGCCCGCGCGCAGGACATCATAGCGCGGTTCGGCAGCGCGCACAGCATGCCGCGCGCCTTCTTCTCGGACTTCGTGCGCGTGGCGGAGGACGAGGCGCGCCACTTCCGCCTGCTCGCGGCGCGCCTGCAGGCACTGGGGTCGCATTACGGCGCGCTGCCCGCACACGACGGGCTGTGGGAGTCCGCCTCCGCCACCGCAGGCGACCTCAAGGCGCGCCTCGCCATCGAACACTGCGTGCACGAGGTGGGGGGGCCGGGGGGGGGGGGGCACGCGGGGTGAAGGGGGGGCGGCGGGGGGGGGGGGAGGGGGGAGGGGGGAGGGGGGAGGGGGGGAGGGGGGGGGGGGGGGGGGGGGGGGGGGGCAAGGAAAGGACACGCCTCGCCATCGAACACTGCGTGCACGAGGTGAGGGGGGGGACATGGGGGTGGGGACAGGGGGGGCGGGAGGGGAGGGGGGTGGCCGTGGGTGGGGGCAGGGGGGTGGGCGAGAGTGGGTGGGGGGGGGCAGGGGGTTGGGCGTGGGTGAGGGGCAGGGAGGGGCACGCGGGGGCTGGGGGTTCTGGGCGGGGTGGGGGGAGGGGGGGTGTGCTATGTGGTGAGGTGCGCGTGTGTGGGAATATGGTATGCAGTGGGTTTGGGGGGTGAGAGGGGAGTGGGGTGAGAGATGGCCTGGCATGCTTGTCCTCTGCATTCTCCATTCGCCTCTCTTCATAGCAACCCCTGTTGCCCGCAAAATGGGAGCGAGCGCTGCTAGTGCTGTCAGGTGCAGCTCCCACGCATGTGTCCCACGTTGTCCTCGCCTCTCACCCCCCCCTCTCCCCTTCTCACATCCTCCACCCACACCTGCTGCATCAGCCAATGCATTTCATGCACCCTCACACCTCCCTCCCTGCCCGCACCATTCTCTCCTGCCCGCCACCCACCCCAACTGCCATTCATCCTGCCTGGCAGGCGAGGGGGCTAGACGTGGTGCCACAGACCATAGAGCGGTTCAGGGCGGGCGGGGACAGCGAGACAGCGGAGCTGTTGGAGCAGGTGGTGTACCCCGAGGAGGTCACGCACTGCGCTGCTGGCACGCGCTGGTTCTCCTTCCTCTGCCTTCGTGGCTTGCGCGCACGGCAGGGAGAGGTGGGGGGAGGACGTGGGGGAGAAGCAGCTGGTGGGGGGGAAGGTGCAGGGGGGGGGTTGCGAGGGGAGGCATTGGGGGGTGAGGCGGCAGCGGTGGGAAGGAGCGGGAGTGGGGTGGCAACAGGTACAGGAGCAGTGGACAGTGGTGGGGATGGGGTGGGGGATGGGGGTGGGGATGGGAAGGGGTACGGTGAGAAGGGCAAGATAAGGGCTGAGAGAAAATGCGAGGCAGCGTGTGAGGGTATAAGTGGTGCAGTGGAGCAGAGTATGGAGGCAGAGGAGGTGAGTGCAGAGGAGGTGAGTGCAGAGGAGGTGAGTGCAGAGGAGCATGCAGCAATCGTGGCGGAGTTCCACGCCATTGTGCGGCAGCACTTCCGTGGCAAGCTGAAGCCGCCCTTCAACCACGACGCACGCGCCAAGGCCGGGCTCACTCGCGACTGGTATGAGCCGCTCGCAGAGTGAGCGAGCAAGGCAAGCACGCTGTGTGCAACGGCTGGAGCGTGTGAAAGGAAGGGCATTGAGCAGGCTCCCTTAAGGTCCCGTATAGTTGACCCATGGGATTCACTAAGGCGAAAAAGGGGCGGTGGGGTTTCTTTCGTTTTCTTGTGTCTGTCCCAGCAACCCTATTTGCACCTACAGGTCACATGCTTCCGCAACTCACACAGCACTTGCTGTTTGAACCAGGCCCTCCGATTCGTTTTTGGCCTGTCTGATTCGTCAGACTAGTACACAATTTTAGTCTGAAAATCTCAGACTTGGTATAAAAAAAAGGCTGAAATATCAGAGTGCCTTTAAAAAAAAGTCTGATCATTCAAAATCAATGTATTCAATGTTTCATCGGAAGTGTATTCAATGTTTCATTCATTTGCTACCGAAACATGCTACACTAGGGGGGGATTTTCGATGAAACGTGCTCTGACAGGGCGAATATACGGTATGTGTCAGGGCGAATCTTGTGGTGCGAAAAGGCGAATGTGCAATGTCAGGGCGATTTTGCTGTGATTGGGCGAAAATTGAAGTGCTCTGACAACGCAAATCTGTTGTGTCAGGGCTATGATTGGGCGAAAATCTTGTGATGTAAGGCTCGGATTTTCCGTGTCAAGGCGATTTTGCGTTGGCAGTGCGAATCTGCTGTGACCCGTAAGTCCGAATCACCAGTCAAGGACGCGTTTGTACTCTGAATGATCAGAGTACACTCTCAGAAAACTCTGAACTCTCAGAGTTAGGGCGTATTCCTACGGCCTCCTATCAAGAAACCTCCTATCAAGAATGCACATTTTGCCTGGTGAAAGTAGCGAGAGATTTTGGGTTTAGGGAATTTTTCAGTGTGAGCTTGATAAGAGGTTTTCTTGATAGGAGGATAGGAATACGCCCTTAGCCTTAAAGAAAGTCTGAAAATTACAGAGTTGAGGCCCAAAAAAGTCTGATTTTATCAGAGTACACAGGAAAAAAAATCTGAAATATCAGAGAAAAAAGTCCAAATCAGAGAAAAAAGTCTGACTTCTGAGGGCCTGGTTTGAACACACACTTTACCACATAATAGTAACCCTGCTACAGCATGATGACTTGCCATAGCCACCGTGGGCCTTCACATTGAACTAAGGCAGTATCCATGAGATGGAGTCGCATCGCAATCCTCACTCGCTGCTGTGGTGTACATGACGAAAGTCGATGGGAATGTTTTAAGGTTAGCGTTTCACTTGGTCAGATATAAGATGAAGATACGGAAGTTGTTTTGGATGTTTGATGCGTGCAAGTGTGGAAAAGAGGAGGGGGGAGGGAGGAGGGAGGAGGAAGTGAGTGTTAGAATCTAGCAGCAGGAATGAGTGAACTAGCAGGATGATGGGTACAAGTAGGAAACCCTAATTTGGGTTGTACCCCATATGGGCTACCCCACTACAGCCTACACATCAAGCAGCATATATGTTTGACAGTGAGTAGGAGGGGGGGCAGAGGGGGGATGGGGGAGCAGGGGAGATGGAGGGGAAGGGGGAGCAGGGAGGAGGAAGTGGGGGGAGAGGGGGAGGGGGGGGAGGAGGAGGGGGTGAAGGGGGGAGTAGGGAGGGAGGATGGGAGAAATGGGGGAGCGGGAGGAGGGGAGCTGGCAAGAAAGTTGGGAGAGGAAGGGGGTGGGGGGGCAGAGGTTGAGCAGTGAGCAGGGAGGGGGCGGGGATAAAGGTGTGGAGGAGGGGGGAGGGGGGGGGGAGGGAGGGAAGTGGGGGAAGGGGGAGCAGGGAGAGGGTTGTGAGAAGGGGGAAGGGTGAGCAGGGAGATGGAAGGGGAGGGACGAGAGCCGTGAGAAGGGGGGTGAGGAAGGGGAAGGAGGAGGGGGAGGCAGGAAGGGGAAGGGAGGGGGGAGTGTGGGGGAGCACACCTAAACTTTTAAAAATTTGGAAGACCACACACGCCCTTACAGGTTGTAAGGAAAATTCCTTTTCCTTACTTCGCGTCCCTGCTCAGCGCGTACACCACTGTTCCCGCCAACAGCACCCAACAGTAATCCGTTACCACTCGCGACACTCGCCTCGGTACTGTTCCCGCCACTGTTCACGACGCGACCCAACCTCACGGCTCGGTTGGTAACCCGCGCTCCGGACCTCCGCCTCGACAATTCCCAACCTCGGCGCTAGGCCCGTCGCGCACCCCATTTTCCACACATTACCGTTACCACTGTAGTTTCGCTATATAATCTTCGCTCATGCCTTCGCTCATTGTACTCTTGCTTCGATAGTGCAATCCTCGTTCGCTCACTCCATTGCACTCGTAACACTTGGTATCAGAGCCTACGATCTCTTCTCGGACCGCACCCACACCTTCGCTTCCCCACTATCTCAATTTTTGGAGGGGGTAGACGTCTCTCAGCGACACAGCACCGCCGCTCGTAGTGCTCTCTCGTAAGCACGCACGGCCACGACAGAGGCTCTCGCTGAGCTCGCCCGACACCCCCGCCATGGCCGAATTCAATCTCGCGACTCTGACGCAGGAGCAGCTCGACCGCCTTGTCAGAATCTAGAATAGAACGAGAATGGATGAACTAGCAGGAAGGTGGGTACAAGTAGGAAACCCTAAGTTTGTGTACCCTCTAAGGCTAAACCAGCAATAGCCTACACAATATAAACATACAATGTTTGACACACCCCCATAGGCGAAGTGGGAGACAATGAGAGGGTCACAAGACCAGTCAAAGCAAAGCAAAGCAAAACAAGCTCAGGGTGGATCTCAAGGATACCACACAAATTCCGAGCACAAGCAAGCGGTCACAAGACCAGTTCACATGCAGTTTGATAGTATAGCAAGAGATACAATGATCACAACCTAGCAAGTGTAAACATGCAGGTATATATATAGAGATCACAGTACAAACAGAGTCAAGAAGTAAGCAAGTGAGGTCCAGTAGGCACAAGGCCTAGAAGAGTACAGAAGCGCTGATGGTCACAAGGCTGAAGTGCCTTGGTGAACACATCAGCAGTGTTGGCCTCAGTGGCCACGTAACGCAGACGAAGCTGACCGCGCTGCTGCAGCTCTCGAGCAAGGAAGTACCGCAGGGCGATGTGCTTCGTTCTGTGCTCCAGTCTGTGCTCCTCACACAAGGCAATGGCAGCCTTGTTGTCGACGTACAGCACTGGAGGAGAACGAGGCCGCTCTCCCAAGTCGGTCAGCAGGTAGGTCAGCCAGCGTAGCTCCTGGGCCGCCATGGCTGTGGCGTAGATCTCAGCCTTACAACTGGAGCTGAGAACAGAAGAAGAGCGTGTGGAACGCCAAGAAACTGAGCCAGAGCCAAGACTGAAGGTGTAACCCTGAGACGACCGCTGTGTAGCCTGGTCGTCCGCCCAAGAGGCGTCTGAGTGTCCAGTAAGTACAACTCGGTCTCGCCCTCCAAGCACTAGCCCCATGCCTGACGTACTGCACAAGTAGCGCAACACCCTCTTAGCGGCATCCATGTGCTCCTTCCTATGACGGCCAGGAGCGACATAGCGTGCAAGGATGCTAAGAGGGTATGCGAGGTCAGGTCGAGTGCAGGTCATCAGGTACATGAGGCAACCCACAAGCTCTGGATACGGGCCACTCGGCTCTACGGACTCATCCAAAGGCAGAGCTGAGAGCGAGTGACCGGTAGGCAGAGGAGTGGACTGAGGCGAGGAGTACGTGAAGCGGAAGCGCTGAAGGACCTGCTGCACCATGTGTGACTGAGTCAAGGTGATGGTGCGCCGTGCTCTGTCCCAGGTGATCCGCAAGCCAAGATAGCTTGTCAGTTCACCCAGGTCTGTGCACGTGTGTCTCTTCTGCAGCTCCGACTTCACGTGGGCGAGAGCCTCAGTGTCAGCAGTGGCAAAGACCAAGTCGACGACGTACACGAGGATGTAGAACGGCGGCAGTGAAGTGTCGGTGCGCAGAAACAGCGACGGGTCAGCAGTAGAAGGCGCGAACCCAAGTGCCGCAAGTGTCGTCCTCAGTGTGTCGTGCCACTCACGGGGCGCCTGGCGGAGACCGTAGACTAGCCGGCCCCTGCAGCCTCCACTGGGTACCAGGAGGAACCGACCCAGTGAAGCCAGGAGGGCGGCGCAACCAGATCTCCTCGTACAGGCTGCCCTGCAAGAAAGCTGTGCTGAAGTCAAGAGAGTGAAGCTCGTAGACGCGGTGAGCGGCTATGTGCAGCAGCACCCGAAGAGTGGTCATCTTCGGGGTGGGGGAGAAGGTCTGGAAGAAGTCGACTCCCTCTCGCTGACTGAAGCCTTGAGCAACGTAACGCGCCTTGAAGACAGGCGGAGAACCCGGCGGCCGCTTCACCCTGAAAATCCACATGCCACTGACGATGTTCGCCCCAGGTGGGGGAACCTCGTCGACGTAGGTGCCTGTGGACTTCCAGGAAGCCATCTCTGCGTCCATGGCTGTCTGCCACTGAGAGGAGTAGGGACCCTCTATCGCCTCTGCGTAAGAGCGCGGAGTCGGGATGTCTGGTGCATCCGGGTCTCCCTCAGGGGCAACTAGCATGGACACGAGATGGGGCAAAGCAGCAGCAAAGCACTGGAACTCCTCCTGTCTGTCCTCAAGGACGTCCGTGCCAAGAGCACACTCACCCCCGACGGACGGAGGACAGGCAGACTCAGACTCAGCAACAAGGCTAGCGGCGTAGTCTAGACGACACCGAGCAGCAAAGTCAACCAACTCAGCGACCAGGTAGGGTCAGTGACAACCGTAGCTAGGAGACGCGTGACAGTGGGACTGGCAGCACGATGGGAGTCAGACTTCGGGTCGGGAGGAGTAGGAAGAGAGGACGCAGGAGGAGACGGCAGAGGGACACGCTGAGGAGTAGTGGAGGGACGCAGAGTCATGTAGTGAGTGCCAGGGACAGGGGGAGGACGCGTACGTGGGACACGACGACCAGTGCGAGCAGTACGAACAGGCGACGCAGGACGAGACTCAGGCTCACGACGCTCCGTAAGACCTCCTGTGGGACCAGT